AAAAGCGAAATTTTAATAATGTTATTAAACTTGCATTATTAAAATGTAGTTGCATCTATGATCTTTTGTTAAAAGTTTGAAAGTTTGAAAGTATAACTATATTACGTCGTTTAAAACATTTATACACATAATCATTGTTTATATTTTGAATTATAAAATGGTAAAATCTGTTAAAACTATTTATTAAGAAATACCTGTACATGTTGAGACATCAATATTAAACATAATATGCATAAAAGAAAAATGTTTTTTATTCAAATTAATTCTATTCGATCCAAAAAATTTTGTAAATTAATAAGTAAAATATATTTGTTTAAATATATAAGCTACAATTCAGTTTTTTAATCACTAATCGTCATTACTAAAACTAGCTTTGGAGTAATAAATTTATTTACTAAATGATTGAAGGGCATAAAATTTATTATGATTTAACATTAAATCTTGGATTTTATAATAATAAAATAAATGTTCACACTAATACTTTATATATTGATAATATTCATATTTTAATTGTGTTTATCAATATTTATTTTATATCAATTAAAATTATTATATCGTTATTGTACATGAACTATTCTAATGGACATAAGTATTTTAATACGACAATTTTTTTCTCGTAATATAATATAAGATGTAATGTATTTAAGATTTATCACTAATAACTAATAATGTATTATAAAAATAATAACTACGATAATAATAATAATTATTATAAGTAATAACAATTACGAATGAGAATCAATATTTTAAATTATAGTGATAGATATTATCAATTTTACATTACACAATTTATAATTAAACACTTGCAAATAAATTAGTCATATATGTATATATGTATTGCATTTATGTTACAATCGAGTCTTGGATTTTAGTATTAAATTAATAATTCAACGAATACAATTCAATGAATTGTATAGAACACGCGGGACTATTTTTATATTTTTACTTAATAAACAGGGAAGCGTAAGTATTTAAAAGAATTTTGATTAAGATTAGCATACACGAAATTATTATTCAACTTTATTTTTCTAGTCAAATGACACAAAAATACTGATTTATATAAAGAAACTGTATGTCGTATAATTGATATAAAATAAAAAAAGTAATAACTAGAAGAA